ACAACAACATCATGTTAACTGTGGAAGTCTTGTGTTTTTCTTACCTGTTGCAATCGGGTTTTGATGCTAACGCATAGCAACTCTATAGGCTAAGGGTAGAACTGCTCCCAAAGGGTTCTCAAGGCTGTAATCTCTATGGAAGCAGACTGGCATATCTTTCTCTCACAAAACATCTGATGGGTTTGATTTGCCAGTTTATTAGTTAGCAAACGAGCATTTAATCACTGTGCCACCAGAGCTCCTGTTCTGAAGGACTGTGTTAAATCTGTTGTGTTTTAAAGGAACCAGGGAAATTAGTATTGTTTGACTTGTCATACTATTTAAGGAAATCAGATCTTGTCTAAGAGAAGTCAGGTAGCATTCTAAGGTCATTGGGTCCAAAAGAAATTGATTATATCTTTTTTATATCTTTCAGAGTTTTCATTGGGAGTAAATGCTTTTGTATGGTGTTTGGGAGCATTTATTTCAATTTAGCAGTATATTACTTAGGCATATATTTGACTTTAGTAATGTAGATCACATTTGTGTTGTAAGTGGGTTATAAGAAAGCAACAGTTGAGATGTAAAATTTGATCCAAATGATTTAAGGAAGCATTTCTTAAACTATTTATTCTAATAACTGATTTATTTCTATTAAACTTGGGTAAATTTTTTTGTTGATATGTTTTGACATTGGTTTCCAATTTTAGATACAGCTGTTAGACATGATAGTCAGTGAAATAACATAACCTTGTTATTTTCAAGGCATTGCTTAATGTTGTTGGAATTTGAGGTGGGTGGAAAATGGCATTCAAAAGATTATTTCATGAGATAAATGGCAAATTTCCCAAGACTTGAAAATATTAAGATTGTTAAGGTCCTGAAGTGTCTGGATTTGGGCCACTAGCCACTACTTGGCAGTATAACATCAAGAAGCTAAGGTCAGAGAAAAATTTTAATCAAAATTCGGTAACCATTTAATCATTCCCAGTAATTTTACTGTATTCCCCGCCCCCCCACCCCAGACAGTTCACAAAACTGTGAACACATTAGTCTATCACCAGTGCAGTTGACTAATCTCTGAACAGCTGTTGTAACATGCGTTACTACAGTGGGATTTCATTCAAATGTGAGCTTTTAAAAATAATTTTAAAACTTAGCAAACTTTTAAGTATTTTCTGTGCTTTTGACAACGTTTACTTTCTCAATTTTACATTTGTTTATTTTGGGGCAGAAATTTGTATTCTGTAAGGAAATCTAATAACCAGATTTTAGAGTGTATGCTTTGATCATTAGTAGATTTTCTTTTGAAGTTAATTTGTGTTTATATTAGGAATGTTTTCCTTTTTTAAGGAGTGAAAGTTTTCTTGTTCTGTGTAAAGATTGGATAAATAAAAGATTGGATTATAGAATATTGTGTGTTTCTTATATGAAACGAATTGTGATTTAAATTTAGTAGGCAGTCCTACTTTTACTATAAATAGAAAAAGGTAATATAACACAGCATTTCTAAAGTTGGCCTCAGTTTAATCAGTCTTATATCACTCTTTGCAATTGAATAATTAAGTAAAACCTAAAGGGCAGTACTGCACTGTGTATCTTTACTTTGTAGATCGTAGGTTACACAGTCATGAATTATAGAATAAATTGGCCATATTATTAATCTACAGGATGGTGGCTGTTGGTCAAAGAATAATATTTTAATATTTGAAACACATGTTTTTTCATATCACATAGACCACATTGAGGAATTTTGTATTTTGTTTTGTAATACCAAACATGATTCTGGTCCCTATTTCCCTCTACATTCTCATTATCCTTAGCCATTTTCCCCCTCACTCATTTCCCTGAAGCTTCCCCCACCCCAGTTTTGAGAAGACAGTTTCTGACTCTACCATGTGCTTAGAACATTCTTTCTGCCCCCTCCCAGCATGTCTAATACTACACTCATCCTTTAGATCTCAGGCTAAGCAGTTCTTTAGAGAGACTGCTCTTTACCATGCAATCTAAAATAGGTCCCAGCACTCCTTTCTCAGCATACTATGTTTCTCTAATTTGTAACTGTAAGTTCATTTTTTGTATGTTTATGTATTTAATAACTGACTTCCCGACTCAGACTGAAAAGGTTCCTTGAGGATAGAGACTATGTTTTATTTACAACTGTTTACTTAGCATTTCATGGGAGAGCTAAGCTTTTTTTTAATTCAAAATTTATATTCTTTTCATTCCACATTAGCCCTGTCATTGCCTTTTTACTCCAGCTGCTTTAAAAGTCATTGGAATGTGGATTAATCTGCAATCCCTACCTTAATTCCAGAATTTAGAAACACAAAAACAAAACAAAACAAAAAACTATAGAAAAAGAGGGTTTTTCAGACTTTTTAAATAACAAACTTGAATTGATGGAAGGCAAATTCTGTGTTTTATTTATCCCACTTAGGGGGAATAATCATTTGCAGCACTAAGTGCTTGGGGATGCTGCTCTAAGCACTACTGGGGACATGGTATTAATAGCATGTAGAATGTGTACTGCTACCTTGCTGAATTATGAGAAATTCTGTATTCTGGAATATAAAGAGAGTATATTGAGAGATTAAATTATGGAGTTTTGCTTTCATTTCTCTAAGGGATTTCAAGGATCGACACAATTATTCATAGAATCCATTTGACTCTGGCAAAATGAATTATGCATGACCTGGCTTTGACTGTAGGATAAGCACTGGACACGCCTAATCAAAAGGTCTATGGTTCAAATCCACCAGGTGCTCCCCAAAACCTATGCAGGTTGCATATACATCGGAAATGACTTTATAGCACTTAACAAAACAAAGTTTGGTGACTAATCTATACATTCCAATGTAAACCTCAGCAATAGACTTCTCATTCTACTTACTGTGTTTTATGAACTCTGGGAGCTTGTTAATCAGGAAGTAAGGTTTTGTTTCCCTTATTGCTTAATATATTTTGTAAATTCAGGCTGTAACTTCTTAAAATTGTGTCTCTCAGAACTCTGCTTAATTGGTAATTTGATTCTCAGATGGGATTACTTTAAGACTTACAATTAAAAATATTTTGGCTTTGAGCATGGTTTGTGTTTTTTTTTTTTTTTTTTTTTAACTACAGTGTTAGCAGAGGAACTCTGTTTCTTCCACTCATGAAACCTGACTTGTTTTGATTGTTGTTAAGTGCCATCTGATTGGTTCCGACTTGTAGCAACCCTGTATAGAGCTTCTGAGGAATGGCTAGTGGGTTTGAACAGTCAATCTTGTGTTTAATAGTCCAGTGCTTATCCTACAGCACCACAGTAGGACTCCAACTATTTTGATTGGACAATTAAAAAATTTAATTTTTGTTAAAACAGCAGTAAATTCATTTATTAAAGTTCTTCCAAAGATTAGGTTGCAAACTGAAAGAATTATAGCTCTTTGCTATGACGCATAACAGGATTTCAGTTAACATTGTCAGATAACACTGTATTAATATAAAGTTGCTAAATATGATGTTGTTCCTATATTTTACCGTCTTCTCCTAGGGACTTCGAGTAATGAAGTGTAGTTTTGACTGTCGTTTGCCAGTTGGATAGGCTCCAAAAACAAGGAGGCATTTGTACATGTGCAGATGTTGGCAGGGTTCCCTTTTCTCCTCTTGTCAAAGACCATTTTATTTTTACAAAGATATGTTTGTATCTGTTCTACAATATGGCGTGCAAAAATCTACCAGTCATGTATTGGGGAGCTTTTCGTTTTACTGTTTTGCATGGCAAACTATGTCTCTTATTTACTTGTTTTATGCTTTCTGTTTCTTACGTTGGGAACTTTATACATAAATGCTAATGGGAAAATGTTTAATCTTTTATAGTCATTTTGTTTAAATCTTCAGGATTGTGTAGGTAGTAGGAAGTTGAACTAAATATTAAGTTTTAAGTTGGGAGAAAAAGTTGAAGCCCTTGTGTGAAGCTTCAGGATAGACACCTTCAGACCTACCAGCCACTACTTCAAAACCGTATATACAGGGTTCCTCTGATCAGAACCAACTCAACAACACTAGCAACAGCTTACATATTTATATATATAGCAATCTGTCTATTTCATAATGCTTACAAAGAAAGCCCCAGGTACTGATTTCCAAAGCAACAGCAGGTAGGGTATCTAAAATAAAGTTGAGTTCGTTATCACAATATAAGGATTCGTGTACCATATCTACATTTTTTATTTTTGTAATAAATTAGTTCTATCACAGAATTACAGATATTAAAGTTTAAAAAAAAATAGGTGCTGGGATTATTGATGAAATTTAACTTTAAAAGATCCTTAAATTTTAAAGTTGATAAAAATTTAAATCTAAGGATATTATTCAGTTTTAATGATTTTTAAAAGTTGGGATTAAAACGCTACTTTCATTCTCCTTCAGTAGTTAAATAAACAGCATCCTCTCATAATTTTGTTTTTCCTAGTGGGGAGAATGACTCTTAAAGCACCTCCTTCTATTCATGTGATCTTATCCAAGAAGTTGTTTAAAACATTATTTCTCAGTCATTTTGTACTCCAGTGCTCATTTTGTAGTCATAGGTTTTAGCACTGGTTGTTGTAGTTGTTAAGTGCTGTTGGTTCCAAATCATAGTGACCCCAGATACTGTTTGTTGTTGTTAAGTGCCTTGAGGTTGATTCCAAATTCATAAGGTGAAGAGCAACTGATGGGTTTAGCTCACTGTTATTAATCAGTTTAGCACAAATGCCTGGGGCCATAAATATTTTCTGGTTGATAGATTTGTCTACTCTAAAGAAAGGATTGGGTGGTCCCCAAGAAGGATTGCTGAAAGTCAAGATGAACTAAAGTATAAAGTCTCTTATATTTGGTAATTAAGGTGTTTTGTCTTTTATAGATCGATTTGGTCTTGAACTTTTGATAAGCAAGACTTTGGTGCTCATTCCTAGTAGAAATCTCTACTAGGAGGATCTAGGGAATAGAGTTAGGATATCTTAATCAGAATCTCTCATAATATTAAGATAATTTTTTTGTAGAGTTTTCCATCTGATGAAGGTTGGCCATTTGCAAAATATCTTGGAGCTTGTGGAAGAATGGTGGCTGTAAATTATGTTGGAGAAGAGCTGTGGAGTTATTTTAATGCACCATGGGAAAAACGAGTTGACCTTGCTTGGCAATTAATGGAAATAGCAGAGCAGCTTACAAACAATGACTTTGAATTTGCACTCTACCTCCTGGATGTCAGCTTTGACAATTTTGCAGTTGGTCCTAGAGATGGGAAGGTAATCATTGTGGATGCAGAAAATGTTTTGGTTGCTGACAAACGATTAATTAGACAAAGTAAGTATATAACTTTCAGAGTTATTTTTTATTTGATACTCATTTTTTCCTGTCAAGTAATGTTTACATCCATTATGGAGCAAGCTTTTAATTTCCTCCTTAAATGATTTGGCAGCTTTTCTTTGCTTTATTTGACTAATACCAGTAAACAAACATGGTACTTGTACTCTTAGTCAACACTGTTTCTCTGTATGAGGAGACTTCAAAAAGTTTGTGGAAAATTCCATTGTCTTTTAATTCCATTTGTCCATGAACTTTTTGAAGCCCCTTGAGTTCTGTAGTTTAGGAGTCTTCAAGCAGAATCAAGTTTACATAGTTAAAGCCTGCCAGAGAGACTGCCCTGCCCTGGTGGAGCTCTTCTTGTATTACACTGTGGAGAATGCTATAGTTGGTCCCTACAATGATGGATTTGTTTTTGTTTATACTCATATGAATAAACCCCTAGTACTGCAGATCTGATTAGGTTTGACATTCTGATTATTACATCTCGCCCAAAACCTTGATTTTCAAAGCCTAGGTAGGCAGTGTCTCAAGTGTTCTGAATTTTAGTATCAGCAGCAAAGCCTGTAGTTCCCTAACCAGTCTAGTCCAAAAGAAAAACTGAAGGGTTACACTTTCATGGTGAGAGTTTTTTTTTTGCTCTTCACCCCTCCCTTTCAAAGGATCTTGTGATGAGACCAAAGATTTATGACATCTGGAGAATGCAGTGAATGTGAGAGTACATTAGGTTGACACATCATTGTTGTATTTTAATTTGAGTCTGTTAAATACTTGATTTCCCCCAGTCCCTTGTTCTGATTCCATATCCAGAAAACAGCTTTCTGGTTATTCATCAGCATGTCATGTGGCCCTGTACAGGGAGTTGGACACTCTCCTCCCATGTGCCATTATTCCGCATGTGCCTCTCAATCCATCTGTGACTGGTGCGGCAGTTTGCACCATGAGTTTTTTATAAGTACAGTTTTTTGGGTTTTTTTTTAAGTGTATTCAGAGAATTGTGCAATTTGCCTAAACTTTAAATTTTCATTCTGGTTAAAAAAAATTTTTTTTTTTTTTAACCTTCCAATTCATTTTATGCAAACAGTTTTGGAACACATGGTATACTTTTATACCAACTGATTACTCACTCCAAGTGGATCTGACCATGTGGCTTCTGCATTCTTGATTTCATCTTGTGACCATTGCTTTAGTGCTACTGGTCAGTTCTTTTCAGATTCAGATATCTCATGGTGGGGCTGTCTAAATGGCCTTGCAGCAGAAAGATTTGGCTTCTTTTATTTTCTCTTTCCAATAGTTTACTTTTTTCTTCAAATAAACTGAGGTTTAGCTGTAGAAATTCCCTCAGTGTCCTTTGCCTTACCAACTAACCTAGTTAAAATAGCACCCATGTACTCTTCATCTTCAGACATATTACATCCATCCTTCTTTGACAACTTGTTGCATCTGTTATCTTCTTTAACTCCCCCCTTAAAATCTAAGTACACCCATAAAAAGTATATAAGACTCATTCCTGCTTTAAAAACATGAACAGTATCCAACTATTACTTGAAATTATTATTGTGTCTCCTGCTTTTCATTGTCTCTTAACTATTTTAGAAGTGTTGCTTACTCAATTTTCCTCTGTTTCCTGAAGCTCCATACATTCTTCAAACCCATTGAAACCTGACCTAGATGTCTGCCTTGCTGTTGTTGTTAGGTGAAATCCTGTTGGTTCTGACTCATAGGGACCCTATATGCGACCGAATGAAACACTGCCAGTTCCTGTGCCAACTTCATACTTGTTATATTTGAATCCTTTGTTGTTAACATTGCTGTTGTGAGGTGCCATCAAGTCGGAACTGACTCATAGCGACCCCATGCACAGCAGAACGAAACAATGTCCGATCCTGGGCCAACCTCACTGCTGCTGCCACACTTGACGCCATCAATAATGCCACTTGACCGATCCATCTCATTGGGGGTCTTCCTCTTTTTCTCTGACCCTCCATCTTACCAAGCATGATAGCCTTCTCCAGCAACTGTTCCCTCCTGACAATATGTCCAAAGTATGAGAGACGAAGTTTGGCCATCTTGGCTTCTAAGGAGCACTCTGACTGTACTTCTTCCAAAACAGATCTATTGGTTCTTTTGGCAGTCCGTGGCACTTTTAGTATTCTCCTCCAACACCGCAATTCAAAGGCATCAATTCTTCTACAATCTTCCTTATTCACTGTCCAGCTTTCGCATGCATATGAGCTTATTGAAAATACCATGGCTTGGGTCAGGTGCACCTTAGTCTTCAAGGTGACATCTTAGCTCTTCAACACTTTAAAAAGTTCCTGTGCAGCTAACAGTAGTAACCGTATATGGTTGGCAAACTTGTGATAATGACTCTAAAGAGTAGCAGCTTCTTACAATTCTTCTTCCCTTTGGCTTCCTTTAACTACTTTCATAGCTTCCAAAAGGGACTTTTCCTGACTACCGTATCTAGCAGTGTTGTTGTTGTTGTTGACTGCTGTCGAGGTGGCTCTGACCCATAGTGACCCTGTATAGGGTTTCTGAGGAGGAGCTGGTGAGCTTGAACTGCCGACCTTATAGTTCAAATGGCTTTATCGTCTGGCACAAAACCAGGATAACAGAAGAGAGGGTTGTTTCCTTTATATACCTTCTACTGTAGAAACTACTGTTCCTTTGTAGCATTTTCCACAATTTATGGTAGATGTTTATTGATTTATTTACTTGATAATCTGTTTCACACATTGAGGGGATAGACCATATCAATTAATGATTTTATACCCCTGCTTGCCATGGAGTAAATATTCTAATAATTATTTATTAAATGAATGAGTTGCTTTTATTTCTTTCACTGGTGACTTCCCTGCCAACCGATTAAATCGCAAGGAGCTACCCAATTAATTAGTCCCCCTTTTCTTAACCCCTTCTTTGCTTTTAACCATAAGAATCACTTGGGAATCTTGTTAAAATGTAGATTTGATTCATTTTATATCATCTGTATATCTGGTGTAGAAATGCAAATTCTCAGCAGGAGGGTCAAACCCAAATGAATTACTTCAAGGCCCTGCTTGCAACACCCTTTCCTATACTAGTTCATTCATGACCTTGATTTCATCAAGCATACATATGCTGATGGTTTCTAAAAAGATGTGTGCTATATCTCTCTGAGCTCAAAGTCATAAGTTCTAAATCTATATTTCTTAGACTTCTAGTTACATACTTAGAGTTGCATATATAACATATCCCCAAGAACAACTTAGATCCTTTACATTTACTTTCTTAATCCCCTGCCCTCCTCCTCACATGCTAAACCACATCCCTTTAATAGTGTCTACCTGATAATCTAATCACACTTTAAAACTGTAATCATATAATCACTTGTTAATTTTTTTCTGAGCTATATCTCCGCTCTGGCTTTTCTTTCTGGTCTTTCTTTAGTTGCCCTTACCATCTTTGTCTCTTCAGTCTTCAGCCCAGAGAGATCTTTCTGTAAAACCAATCATGGTCATGACCTCAAAAACCTGTTTCTGTAGCCTACTCTTAAGTCCTTTCCAGGTACTTGTCTCACACTCCAGTGAACTTCTCAGGGTTGATTCAACTAGCTGGGCCAATTCCTTAGTCCAAGTCTTGGTTTGAAAGCAGAAATGAATTTGCTCCCATTTCTTTTCAGCAGACTTGCTCATCTTTTCAAACCTGTATCAGATGTTCTCCTTTGTGTGTGGCCTCAGGCAGGGGGCCGCTTCCTCTGTAACCCTATAGCATGTGCCACTTTCCATGGATAATAGAATTCTCTGTAAGACCAAACACTTAAGCAGTAGAGACCATGTCTGGTCCTGCCTGGCTCTGGTGGGCACTCAGTAAATGTTTATGTGAATTAATATAGTTAGATGTTTAAAATTATAATACAGTTTCTAAGAGCAAATTCTGTTACGTTAATTAGTGATGTGTTTTACTTTGGGAAGAAATGAGAACTCTATTTTTAAATGTAATTTTATTTTTCTGTTTTCTCCCCTTTCACAGATAAACCTGAAAACTGGGATGTATGGTATGAAAGCAAATTCGATGATTGTGATAAGGAGGCTTGCTTATCATTTTCAAAAGAAATTCTTTGTGCTCGTGCCACTGTGGACCACAATTACTATGCCGTTTGTCAGAACCTCTTATCCAGGCATGCCACCTGGCGTGGCACTTCTGGAGGACTCCTTCATGACCCACCAAGTGAAATTGCCAAAGATGGCCGCCTAGAGGCCTTGCTAGATGAGTGTGCCAACCCAAAGAAACGTTACGGCAGATTCCAGGCAGCAAAGGAACTGCGAGAGTATCTAGCACAATTAAGTAACAACGTGAGGTAGTTTATGGTGAACTTCCTTTGATCTTTTCTCCATTTTAATAGCACTGGCGAAAACTAATCCACCAAAAACTCTCTGGAAAAACAAAATCGGGAGGTGGTACATTCAGAGGATGATAAACTTGCACTGATAGAACTCATGTTAACATCCATCAAAATAAGACATTGCTTCAAAAATTACATGATGCTTCTGCAAATAAATATGTTGTTACATTTTGGAAACCTGAGCTGTCATTGAATGCTTTGCCCCCTGAATGCCTGAGTGGATTTAATGAATATTGTCAAGCAGTTGGAAATGAGTCTGATAGTTACATGGCTTGTGTATCAAAGGGTACTTGGTACTTGACATAGTTTGCATTAGTCTCATGATTTTGTGAATCTCTTATATTTACTTTGAATGTCAAATAAGATTGGCCTGTTTTATAGGCCACCTTTTCTTCTGACATAGGGTTTCTCCCCATTTTTATGTGTTTTGGGTTTTTTCTTTGGTGTTTTTTTTTTAACTTTTTTTAATTGTACACATTCAGGTTATTGTCTGCCATTTATGGTTTGCTTAGTTTTCATTAAGTACTATGTGGTACGTATTTACTGTTAGGGCAGGAGTCTTTTCCCCCCTGAAAGCTGAATACTTTTTTATGTAAATACTTGTCCCCAGCCCGCTTGCCCTCTGTGGTTTCACCATTGCATGAGATTATTTCAGGTTATTTAACAGTTACATCCCTCTATGCCAGTAATTATTATTGTACTATCAACATGAAGTTTGGCATAGGTTACAAAATTGCTATTTTGCCCTTTACTAAGACAACTAAAAGTATATTAGCATTCTATACTTTGAGGTTAATTTTGGCTCAGAAAAAAAATACATAATCAAGTATTTTTTAAATGGTAACTAGTTCAAGATATCACCACATAAACCAAAGAAAATAATTAGCCCTAGTCCCACAGTTATATTTTAAAAAAGAATTCCGGTCAACTACTTTATCTTACCATTGCATTCAATACTTTAGTCTTAACTCTTTCCTTATTAAATTCACATCTCTCCACAGTTGTCAGTGTTGAAAAGTTGAGCTTCTGTTTTCAAGACTATGTAATTTAAGAATAGCCTTCCTTTTATTAGTTAGTAATTTTGCAAAAGTAGCATAGTAACCACATTTGAATTTAATCAGGCATCATAACCTTTTAATTATTGATATATTAATTGTTTTTATTGTAAAGCAGACAATTTAGCCAGTCTGCCTACCTTGGTCTTCATTATCCAACTGTTACTCTAAGCATCAAGGCATCAAATTATAATGTGTGGATAAAAATTACCATGAATGTGAAATTTGTAGGCTATTTAAGAAATGTTACAGTATAAATTGCTGATTATTAATGTAGATAATATTTCTGTTTTATTATTTTTGTTTACAGCAGATTTTGATATAGTGTGCAGTGTTTAGTTCTAGACTGACCGTATTCTAAATCAGAAAGTGATTAAAATATGCACAACCAAAGCCACGTTTTTCTGTTCTTTTACACTTTTTCAGCAACTATTTATTGAGCCATCAGCTCTGTGCCAGACACATAACTAGCTGCTACACACTGTCTGAACATTGTAACTTTACAATAATTATCAAATATGTTACTGTAGGTATTTAAGTTGAAAGAGCGTTGTTCAAATTAGATGATACTTTCATGTTGTTTTACTGTTGTGATGGAAATTCTACTTGTACCATCTAAAAGAAGGTTGTTACATAATAGAATGGGCTGAAATAAATAAAGTTAATTCCAGTTTGAAAACTGGAGGGAAAAAGGGTAATGGCTCTGCTTATAAAGTAGACTGCATTGTGATCATTTTTCTCTATCGGTACATTGCATATACCATCTTGCTCTCAATGAATATTTCAGTACTGGAAATTTTATTAAGCTGACTTTTTACAACTTTGGAAAACCTTTGAGGGGAGTAGGTAAAAGTGCTTGTCAACATTCTCCTCTTAACACTTCAAGTATACATTCACAAAGCAGAGCACCTTATATATTTGATATGTATTCATTACGAACCTTAGAATGCTAGTCACAGAGGGCTTTTCTGTGGTTCAGCAAACATTTACTTTCTGGAACTGTGATTGTGACTGAATGAAAGAAGTGAGAGAACACTGTCAGCAGTGATGGCTACTTGAGGTAGCTTCTGTATCTACCGTTTCCCCCCATGAGATTCATCTGTGGGATTTGACTTCGGTTATTTTTAAAGAAGGTTGAGGAGAACATAGTAAGAGGATTAAGAATTAAAAATTACAGGGAATAATATGTATGTGAAAAGCAATAAATATTTTGTTCACTTTGCTATCAAGATGTTCACTATCAGATATTTATTATACAGCAGCAATTTATATTTTTAATCATTGCCCATTAATAGATGCATTAAAATATTTTTGAATCAGACATTTGGGGTTTGTATGTGCATTAAAATTGTCTTTTGTACTGTAAGTTGCTGTTTAATTTGAATATTTTATCAAGATTGTCTCCCGTGCCTTTATAATAAAAAGTTGTTTCTACAACTTTTAATGATCTTAATAAAGAATACTTTAAGAATCACACTTTTAAGACTATCTCTTAACTCAAAATATCTAAATTTTTCTTGAATGGAAAGTTTGATTTATTTTTTTGCTTCTGCTTAATGGTTTGTTTGTTTTTTTCTGTTTATAACTTTATTGTGAATTGAGTGAAGGTTATACAGACAAAATCATCAGTTTTACATTCTACAAACCATACACTTGCATGTGTTTTGTTATAACTTTGGGGAACTGTGGAGTGGAGTCCTGGATGGTGCAAATGAGTCAGTGCACTTGGCTGTTAACTGATAGGTTTGGAGTCTATCCAGGGGCACCTCAGAACAAAGATCTGATGGATCTACCTGAGCAAGATCTACATTCAGTCATTGAAAACCCTACGAAGCCCAGCTCTGTTCTGACAAACATGGGCAACTTGAACCTGTTTTTCTATGAATTGAGCTTAGATATGTATGTGTTTTGTTTTGATTTTCTGTAATAGCTTTTTTTCTTTAGGAAACAACCACCAAAAATCAATGAAAATTTCAAATGTAAATAAGAGAATGATTTAATGAACGATAGTGTAATGAATTCCAACTTCAAAAATTATCAACATGGCATAAACTTGATTTGTCTATAACCCTACCAACTTGTTTTATTTTGAGGCAAAATAAGTCATATCATTTGATTCATATGTACACACTAGGTGTTTTCCCTCAACAAAATAATAACATTTTAACATCTAAAAATTTAGCAGTAATCCCTCACTATTGTCAAAACAAGAAAGTTTTCCAAATAACACTTTCAAAAGCTCAGAATCCAATTGTTGTAGTTATCCAATGGTTCTATGATAGAAATACCATAAATGGATGTCTTGAACAACCTGAAATGTATTCCCTCACAGTTTAGGAAGCTGGAAGCGCAGATTCAGAATGCCAGCTTATTTGTTGGTTGTAGGGAAAGGCCCTTGTCTCCTTTCAGCATTCCTGGGAGATCGCCATACATTTTTGCAATGAAAAGTGTTGGTACGACAAACCCTTGAATCTTCTATAAATTGGTTGTGGTGGGGGAACAGTGGGATTAGTATTGGTCTATCATATCCAAAAACATCATGGAGGGTTAGCAAAATCTCAGCTGTCAAGCCGCTGAAACATCCTATCCTTGTCAAGTCGACACAAAACCCTAACTAAATCACACCAACTGAGAGGGTTCCCACTAGCTATATAGATGGAACAATTAATCATCACTAAGGATAATGACTGAATGGGTAGAAACACATTAAACATGTAAAATACAAACCAACCTGGTCATCTTTGGAAAAGTATTAAGTAATTACTCTGAAAACCAGTAAATTGAAAGGAATGAAGCATTTATCATGTCTCACCTTGGTGGTCAAATAGTTAATGGGGGGAAGATTTTTTTGTAGGAGTACCCCAATTAATAAATGCAGGAGTGCTAGATGTAACACTTGTGTTTCTAACAAAATGATAAATCTAAGCAATAATCCTGTCTACTGAAACAAGTGAGCTGATGAGTAACTATAAATGAATCAGGGTAGCGACACCTGTACCCACTAGAAAAAAGCTTACCATAATGAGCACCACCTATGAAATGTCTTGCCAAAAAGATAGAACCTGAATCTGATTAATCCCCTAGCTCTATCCATTAGTGAAAAATATAGAGCTTAAATGGCATTGTAAGGATGCAGTCAACAAAATTCAGAATGTGGGCAGTTATGCAGGTTAAATAGTTTTAAAGAGTTAGAGGAGGATCCTTTACATTAAAAGAACACAATTCATTTTACCAACACCCCTAATATGATGGTGGGCTTCTGGCATGGCACTGGATCAGCACTGGACTGGGAACCACAAGGTCAGCAATTCAAATCCACCAACTGCTCCTCAGAAACCTTACAGGGTTGTTAAGAGTCATCATCCACTTGACAGCACTTAACAACAATGTGATGTCAGGATTCCTGGTGTGACGCTGTAGAATCAGCACTGGACTGTGAACCACAAGGTCAGTGGTTCAAACACACCAGCTGCGTCTTAGAAACCCTATACAGGATTGCTGTGGATAGAAACCAACCTGACAACACTAAACAACAAGGAGTCCTGGTATTGTAGTGGAATATGAGCTGGGCTGCTAACCAAAAGGTCAGCAGTTCTCATCTACCAGCCACTCATCTACTGGGGAGAAAGAAGAGGCTTTCTGTGACCTCAGAAACCTTACACACATGGCTCTGAGTTGGTGTGGTGCTGTGGGTTAATGCGCCAGACTGCAAAGCCATTTAAACTGCAGGGTTGGCGGTTCAGGTTCACCAGCTGCTCCTTGGAAACCCTATACAGGGTCGCTATGGGTCGGAACCAACTCGACGGCACTTAACAACAATGAGTTGGGAACGACTGGATAGTACGCATCCATTACCACCACCAATGTGATGGCTGGAACTGCCGTTGCCTTGACTGGGTCAGAC